ATAAAATTTAAATAAAAATACAAATATATATATATATATATATATATAATATAAATTAAATTAAATGTAAATTAAAATTTAATTTTAATTAAATTTAAACTAATAAAATATAATTTTATTTTATTTTAATTAAATTTAATTAAAATATATATATAAATTATTTATTTTTTAATTTTTTGCGGATAACGGATACCCGCAGGACGAGTAATATACTACCCGTACCCGACCCGTTTAGAAACGGATATTAAAATACCCGCTATCCATTATCCGTGGGTAATAAATATTCACGGATAGTTAATGCCCGCCGCGGATTTTATCTGCAGGTATCCATGCCCGCAGATAAAATTGTCATATCTAATCTAATGCTAAGACTTAACCTTTGTATTTATTAGACTTTTTCACTGACACACATTATGTATGAATCTTAACCATCTAAGCACATGCAAGCAACAATACATATCATACATTTTTATCTTTAAATTATATTTGGTCAATTCCTTAACCTTGTTATATTTGTTAGAGATTCTCTCCTCTAACACAACTCTACCTTTAGCCAGAGATTTACTCATATGTAAAGTGTCTTATTACAAAATTACAATATATCAAACTAAAACTTACACATATATAAACACATTACCAAACTAATCTTACAAATTTGTTTGCTTGTCCTATAAAACTGGAAGACTTATATATGTCCCTTTACCCAAACTAAAAATAGTATTAAATTAATATAATTATTCTAGTAATAATATCCAATGTATAAATATTATTCTGATAATAAACACAATTATATTACATCACATCATATTACCCAAAACAACAGTAAATACAATTATTGGCGTAATTACTTGCTTAAAATTTTAAGAGATTCAAAGGAATGTATTTTGTAAATGAATAAGCCTTAATAAAGTTATGGGAAGAAAAATCTAAGGACAAAACATAATTCCTCTTTTCTATAAAACCTAAAAATCAGGAACCACTGCTTTTCAGCTTATCTCCCTCCGACCTCGAAACGTGCACTCTCTTATGCATTAATATTGTCAGTGTTTGTCTGGTTAAGAATCCAAAACCTGCATCTGCTCCTTTCCTATTGAGATTCTTACATATTCTCCTGTGTTTTCCTCATTTTTTATGTTGTTTACCTTTTTGGTATTATAACTTTCCTATTACTATTTTTCTTTTCTTTTTCCTTTTTTAACGACTTACCACCATTTTCTTAATTAACTTTTAATCAATTTCTTTCACGGTCTTGGCTATTCTGTTGCTTTAACAAAAGATCAAGAACCAAAAGTTTTGCGAGTGGAAAGAAGTTTTCTTAGGAACAAAAGAAGAAAAAAAAAATGAGGTCGAAGTGCATGGTGATGATGCCGTTTACATTACTGCAATTCGTATCGGTTGTGGTGTTTGTTTTGGGAGAGAGAATGATTACGAAAGGGGAAAATACGCAGAAATATGAAGGCAGTTTCCTTAGCAAAGCTATGAACTTCTTATGGCAATCGGGGGAATCAGGTTATCAACACGTTTGGCCAGTAAGCTTTTCATTCTTTCTTTTCTCTTAGTTTCTCTGATCTTATCTCTCTGTTTTTCTTCTCATTGATTCTCAATTTGAATTTTCTTCAAGCATTGATTCTTCAAATCAATCTATTATTTTTAAGATTGTTTTTTAAAGGTTTCAAGCTTATAATTATGTTTTTACAGAATTGATTTTTTCTTCGTTTTAGTTTGGATATATGTCATGCTTTTGTTTTTTTTACTCACTGTACTTTTATTCTTAAGAAAATTAAATTAATTAACTGATTTTTTTNTTAGCTTTGATACTGGAATAAATCTTTTATGTGAAATGTTTGAAAAAGAGCTATTGCATCATGATAGGGGGAGCATCGATTTCTACAATTGGTCTGTAAGCATTTATATTGATGTATCTCTTTATGCATTTATTTTCCTGTTACTTGGTATCTTTTATGCTAATGCCCAAAGGGGGAAAAATAACTAGAAAAACAGTTTATGGTTGTGTATCCTAAAAATAGGGGGAGATTGATGATAAGGGGAGCTATATGAAAGCTAAACCCAAACCGTTGTGTGTTTTTTATGATGACAACAATATAAATGTTTCAATAAGTTACTTACACAACAACAGAAATGTTTTAATATACAAAGTTGCGTTTATATGTTTGTTTGTGCTTGAACTGGTTGTTTTTCATACTTACTGTGGTTATACATGAGTTTATATCTATAGTATGCATAGTCATGGCTTTGAATGATAAAACTCCTTGCACAAAGCATATTTGTATGAATTAATCAATTGCAGTGATTATGTAATCAGTTAGATTCATCAGATATCAGCAAATGTTTAACTATGGAAAAACTACAAGTTTTAACCGATTACTTTATATGTATAATTGATTAAAACTTGTGTCTTTGCTTACACTTGCTGAGTGCAGTGATGTGTTTTCAGATGAAAAAGCTTTCAAATTTGATTAAGTGTTATACTTAACCGATTACATGATTTTCTTAATTAGTTAAATTTCGTGCACACTGAAAACTATTTTCATGATAAGTCTTAACTACCATAACGGTCATATTTTGAATTGTTTTGACTTATATTAATTGTGTAATCAATTACATTAATTGTGTAATCTGTTAAATGTGTTTTAATGTAATTCTGGTATAACAGTGTTAATTGCTTAACCGATTACATTAATATTGTAATCGATTAATATGCGTCAAACTTGAGAAAACTATATATTGACGCATAGCGCTCTACATAAAGAACTTTTGTACATTCATTTTTATTATCTGACAAAGTGAGTTGAGAGAAGAAATTGCAGTGTGTCCATTCTCCAAGAATCAAGAAGCGTTAAATTTGGAAGATTCAAAGGATTCTTGAAGGATTTTTGTGTTCTTACGTTTGTTGATCATCATCCGCACTCTTAAGTGTTCTGAATCAGATCAGTGTTGATTTTGCAATCTGTGAATTGTGGTTTCCCTGTTGTCGGTGGCTAGGAAGAGAATCGTGAGGTTCTGGTTTCTTTGAGAGGTGTCTTTCTGTGTTGTATTCTTCTATATTAAACTCGGAGTTGGAAAGGAGATTACATTGAGACAGGCTATCTGTAATTCTTGTTGTATAACTCAATCTTTATAGTGAAGTGATTTTCAATCTCAGGTTGATTGAAAGAGACTAGATGTAGGCATTGAGGCCGAACCAGTATAAAAATCTTGGTGTTAGTCTTTCTATCTCTTATATCTTTTATTGCATTACAATCTTTATTTGCTTGTGTTTCAAGAAAAGGTTATAGATTTTTCAAAGGTTTTAGAAAGAATAATTATTATACAAAACCAATTCACCCCTCTCTTGGTTGGAAAATAATGCCTATCCATTTATACAGTTGTTATAAGAATTAATTTGTTAGGAATAAATTTTTGTGTTCAATGGGAGATGACTTAGAGTTGACTTTATCCTTTCTATTGATTTTGGCTATTATCTTAACAATACTGAAATTGTTATAGTTTAGTAATATTAATTTTGTTGCATCAATGACAACGTGACCAGTTGTCTAGAAACTTAGGTTATCTGATTCTTTGAACCTAATGATTGCTACTATTAGACTTATCTAACGCCTTAACTTCTCTAATCCTTATACTTGTCTAATGTAGGGATGGCAACGGGTCGGGTCGGGCACGGGTAGTGCCTACCCGCAATCCGACCCACCGGATAAAATCGTACCCGCTACCCGACCCGCTACCCGTCGGATACCCGTTTAAAAAATACCCGCAGGTATTTTAAAACCCGCGGATACCCGCAAAATTAAAAAAAAATATTTAATACATTTTAAAAATAAAATTTAAATAAAAATACAAATATATATATATATATATATATATAATATAAATTAAATTAAATGTAAATTAAAATTTAATTTTAATTAAATTTAAACTAATAAAATATAATTTTATTTTATTTTAATTAAATTTAATTAAAATATATATATAAATTATTTATTTTTTAATTTTTTGCGGATAACGGATACCCGCAGGACGAGTAATATACTACCCGTACCCGACCCGTTTAGAAACGGATATTAAAATACCCGCTATCCATTATCCGTGGGTAATAAATATTCACGGATAGTTAATGCCCGCCGCGGATTTTATCTGCAGGTATCCATGCCCGCAGATAAAATTGTCATATCTAATCTAATGCTAAGACTTAACCTTTGTATTTATTAGACTTTTTCACTGACACACATTATGTATGAATCTTAACCATCTAAGCACATGCAAGCAACAATACATATCATACATTTTTATCTTTAAATTATATTTGGTCAATTCCTTAACCTTGTTATATTTGTTAGAGATTCTCTCCTCTAACACAACTCTACCTTTAGCCAGAGATTTACTCATATGTAAAGTGTCTTATTACAAAATTACAATATATCAAACTAAAACTTACACATATATAAACACATTACCAAACTAATCTTACAAATTTGTTTGCTTGTCCTATAAAACTGGAAGACTTATATATGTCCCTTTACCCAAACTAAAAATAGTATTAAATTAATATAATTATTCTAGTAATAATATCCAATGTATAAATATTATTCTGATAATAAACACAATTATATTACATCACATCATATTACCCAAAACAACAGTAAATACAATTATTGGCGTAATTACTTGCTTAAAATTTTAAGAGATTCAAAGGAATGTATTTTGTAAATGAATAAGCCTTAATAAAGTTATGGGAAGAAAAATCTAAGGACAAAACATAATTCCTCTTTTCTATAAAACCTAAAAATCAGGAACCACTGCTTTTCAGCTTATCTCCCTCCGACCTCGAAACGTGCACTCTCTTATGCATTAATATTGTCAGTGTTTGTCTGGTTAAGAATCCAAAACCTGCATCTGCTCCTTTCCTATTGAGATTCTTACATATTCTCCTGTGTTTTCCTCATTTTTTATGTTGTTTACCTTTTTGGTATTATAACTTTCCTATTACTATTTTTCTTTTCTTTTTCCTTTTTTAACGACTTACCACCATTTTCTTAATTAACTTTTAATCAATTTCTTTCACGGTCTTGGCTATTCTGTTGCTTTAACAAAAGATCAAGAACCAAAAGTTTTGCGAGTGGAAAGAAGTTTTCTTAGGAACAAAAGAAGAAAAAAAAAATGAGGTCGAAGTGCATGGTGATGATGCCGTTTACATTACTGCAATTCGTATCGGTTGTGGTGTTTGTTTTGGGAGAGAGAATGATTACGAAAGGGGAAAATACGCAGAAATATGAAGGCAGTTTCCTTAGCAAAGCTATGAACTTCTTATGGCAATCGGGGGAATCAGGTTATCAACACGTTTGGCCAGTAAGCTTTTCATTCTTTCTTTTCTCTTAGTTTCTCTGATCTTATCTCTCTGTTTTTCTTCTCATTGATTCTCAATTTGAATTTTCTTCAAGCATTGATTCTTCAAATCAATCTATTATTTTTAAGATTGTTATTTAAAGGTTTCAAGCTTATAATTATGTTTTTACAGAATTGATTTTTTCTTCGTTTTAATTTGGATATATGTCATGCTTTTGTTTTTTTTACTCACTGTACTTTTATTCTTAAGAAAATTAAATTAATTAACTGATTTTTTTAAAGTTTTAATAAAAAATATTTTTTTTTCTTAATTTTGTCTCCTAAAAAACTTAAATCAATATTACAAACGAAGATAATATATATTTTGAAAAATTAAACTTCTACGTACTGACTTAATGTATTTTTATTCTTAAATTATTTTTAAAGAAAATCTTAAAATGAATTTATTTTGGAACTTAAAGAGGAATGATAAGAGAAATACTGCCCATCGTTCTGGCACATTTTATTATTATTATTTAGACTTTATTAAAAATTATAAATAAACAAAAGAAATTTTGTTAGTCTATCATTTAATCAGTCTCCTATTCAAATATAATTTAATTAGTTTCTTAATTTAGAGAAGGAACCCATAATATATTTTATTTTTAATGAACTTTAATTTATATAGTTTAACCCATAATTATTGATTTTCTATTTAAAGAAATAAATATGTATATAGAGATGATATTTTTAAATGATCATAAAATTATTGCTTTTATAGATGCAAATATTGTTAGGTGACTCTGATTTTAAATACCTAGTTGGAAAATTAATAACTGGAAATTGACATGTAAAGGGTACTATGGCAGGAGATAGAATTTGGATGGCGAATTATTTTAGGAACTATAATAGGATTTTTTGGAGCAGCATTTGGAAGTGTAGGAGGTGTTGGTGGTGGCGGCATATTCGTTCCTATGCTTAGCCTTGTTATTGGCTTTGATGCAAAATCCTCCACAGCTATGTCCAAGTGTAAGATCTCCACCACCGTTTTATTTTTGCCACTATATTATATACTAACAGCTTTATGATTTATTTTTTATCACCGTTTTAATTGCAAATTTTATCACTCAAGATCATTATTTTCCACGATTTTATTACTTTTTTTTTTTTTAACTTTATCATGATTTTCAACTTTTATGTATTTTACTGACTCATTAAATGAATAACAATTTTTCATTTTTTATGTTTTTTACCCATTCATTAAATGTGTAGCAATCTGTTATGCCTCACAAAAACCGTTTTTTATAAAACGAAATGATGTCAAAATGATATTATTTTTAAAACACTTGACAAAAGGTCAATTTATTTTGTAACTGGTTGCGTGTTAGTTTAGTACACCATATATTACACGTTTAAAAATAAGTAAAAATTTAAAAGATTGAAAAATATAGTAGGAAATGTTTGAAAAGGATAGTTGAAGATAAAATATTAATTAATTTTCTTTTTATTACGAGGGATTTACTACTTTTTTATCTTTAAATTTTTCCAAATTTTACCTTTATACTGTAATCAAAATTCCTAAGTTTTTCTGGTTAACGACCTTGGTAGCCCAAGGAANCATCCGCACTCTTAAGTGTTCTGAATCAGATCAGTGTTGATTTTGCAATCTGTGAATTGTGGTTTCCCTGTTGTCGGTGGCTAGGAAGAGAATCGTGAGGTTCTGGTTTCTTTGAGAGGTGTCTTTCTGTGTTGTATTCTTCTATATTAAACTCGGAGTTGGAAAGGAGATTACATTGAGACAGGCTATCTGTAATTCTTGTTGTATAACTCAATCTTTATAGTGAAGTGATTTTCAATCTCAGGTTGATTGAAAGAGACTAGATGTAGGCATTGAGGCCGAACCAGTATAAAAATCTTGGTGTTAGTCTTTCTATCTCTTATATCTTTTATTGCATTACAATCTTTATTTGCTTGTGTTTCAAGAAAAGGTTATAGATTTTTCAAAGGTTTTAGAAAGAATAATTATTATACAAAACCAATTCACCCCTCTCTTGGTTGGAAAATAATGCCTATCCATTTATACAGTTGTTATAAGAATTAATTTGTTAGGAATAAATTTTTGTGTTCAATGGGAGATGACTTAGAGTTGACTTTATCCTTTCTATTGATTTTGGCTATTATCTTAACAATACTGAAATTGTTATAGTTTAGTAATATTAATTTTGTTGCATCAATGACAACGTGACCAGTTGTCTAGAAACTTAGGTTATCTGATTCTTTGAACCTAATGATTGCTACTATTAGACTTATCTAACGCCTTAACTTCTCTAATCCTTATACTTGTCTAATGTAGGGATGGCAACGGGTCGGGTCGGGCACGGGTAGTGCCTACCCGCAATCCGACCCACCGGATAAAATCGTACCCGCTACCCGACCCGCTACCCGTCGGATACCCGTTTAAAAAATACCCGCAGGTATTTTAAAACCCGCGGATACCCGCAAAATTAAAAAAAAATATTTAATACATTTTAAAAATAAAATTTAAATAAAAATACAAATATATATATATATATATATATATAATATAAATTAAATTAAATGTAAATTAAAATTTAATTTTAATTAAATTTAAACTAATAAAATATAATTTTATTTTATTTTAATTAAATTTAATTAAAATATATATATAAATTATTTATTTTTTAATTTTTTGCGGATAACGGATACCCGCAGGACGAGTAATATACTACCCGTACCCGACCCGTTTAGAAACGGATATTAAAATACCCGCTATCCATTATCCGTGGGTAATAAATATTCACGGATAGTTAATGCCCGCCGCGGATTTTATCTGCAGGTATCCATGCCCGCAGATAAAATTGTCATATCTAATCTAATGCTAAGACTTAACCTTTGTATTTATTAGACTTTTTCACTGACACACATTATGTATGAATCTTAACCATCTAAGCACATGCAAGCAACAATACATATCATACATTTTTATCTTTAAATTATATTTGGTCAATTCCTTAACCTTGTTATATTTGTTAGAGATTCTCTCCTCTAACACAACTCTACCTTTAGCCAGAGATTTACTCATATGTAAAGTGTCTTATTACAAAATTACAATATATCAAACTAAAACTTACACATATATAAACACATTACCAAACTAATCTTACAAATTTGTTTGCTTGTCCTATAAAACTGGAAGACTTATATATGTCCCTTTACCCAAACTAAAAATAGTATTAAATTAATATAATTATTCTAGTAATAATATCCAATGTATAAATATTATTCTGATAATAAACACAATTATATTACATCACATCATATTACCCAAAACAACAGTAAATACAATTATTGGCGTAATTACTTGCTTAAAATTTTAAGAGATTCAAAGGAATGTATTTTGTAAATGAATAAGCCTAATAAAGTTATGGGAAGAAAAATCTAAGGACAAAACATAATTCCTCTTTTCTATAAAACCTAAAAATCAGGAACCACTGCTTTTCAGCTTATCTCCCTCCGACCTCGAAACGTGCACTCTCTTATGCATTAATATTGTCAGTGTTTGTCTGGTTAAGAATCCAAAACCTGCATCTGCTCCTTTCCTATTGAGATTCTTACATATTCTCCTGTGTTTTCCTCATTTTTTATGTTGTTTACCTTTTTGGTATTATAACTTTCCTATTACTACTTTTCTTTTCTTTTTCCTTTTCTAACGACTTACAACCATTTTCTTAATTAACTTTTAATCAATTTCTTTCACGGTCTTGGCTATTCTGTTGCTTTAATAAAAGATCAAGAACCAAAAGTTTTGCGAGTGGAAAGAAGTTTTCTAAGGAACAAAAGAAGAAAAAAAAAAATGAGGTCGAAGTGCATGGTGATGATGCCGTTTACATTACTGCAATTCGTATCGGTTGTGGTGTTTGTTTTGGGAGAGAGAATGATTACGAAAGGGGAAAATACGCAGAAATATGAAGGCAGTTTCCTTAGCAAAGCTATGAACTTCTTATGGCAATCGGGGGAATCAGGTTATCAACACGTTTGGCCAGTAAGCTTTTCATTCTTTCTTTTCTCTTAGTTTCTCTGATCTTATCTCTCTGTTTTTCTTCTCATTGATTCTCGATTTGAATTTTCTTCAAGCATTGATTCTTCAAATCAATCTATTATTTTTAAGATTGTTTTTTAAAGGTTTCAAGCTTATAATTATGTTTTTACAGAATTGATTTTTTCTTCGTTTTACTTTGGATATATGTCATGCTTTTGTTTTTTTTACTCACTGTACTTTTATTCTTAAGAAAATTAAATTAATTAACTGATTTTTTTTAAGTTTTAATAAAAAAATTTTGTTTTCTTAATTTTGTCTCCTAAAAAACTTAAATCAATATTACAAACGAAGATAATATATATTTTGAAAAATTAAACTTCTACGTACTGACTTAATGTATTTTTATTCTTAAATTATTTTTAAAGAAAATCTTAAAATGAATTTATTTTGGAACTTAAAGAGGAATGATAAGAGAAATACTGCCCATCGTTCTGGCACATTTTATTATTATTATTTAGACTTTATTAAAAATTATAAATAAACAAAAGAAATTTTGTTAGTCTATCATTTAATCAGTCTCCTATTCAAATATAATTTAATTAGTTTCTTAATTTAGAGAAGGAACCCATACTATATTTTATTTTTAATGAACTTTAATTTATATAGTTTAACCCATAATTATTGATTTTCTATTTAAAGAAATAAATATGTATATAGAGATGATATTTTTAAATGATCATAAAATTATTGCTTTTATAGATGCAAATATTGTTAGGTGACTCTGATTTTAAATACCTAGTTGGAAAATTAATAACTGGAAATTGACATGTAAAGGGTACTATGGCAGGAGATAGAATTTGGATGGCGAATTATTTTAGGAACTATAATAGGATTTTTTGGAGCAGCATTTGGAAGTGTAGGAGGTGTTGGTGGTGGCGGCATATTCGTTCCTATGCTTAGCCTTGTTATTGGCTTTGATGCAAAATCCTCCACAGCTATGTCCAAGTGTAAGATCTCCACCACCGTTTTATTTTTGCCACTATATTATATACTAACAGCTTTATGATTTATTTTTTATCACCGTTTTAATTGCAAATTTTATCACTCAAGATCATTATTTTCCACGATTTTATTACTTTTTTTTTTTTTAACTTTATCATGATTTTCAACTTTTATGTATTTTACTGACTCATTAAATGAATAACAATTTTTCATTTTTTATGTTTTTTACCCATTCATTAAATGTGTAGCAATCTGTTATGCCTCACAAAAACCGTTTTTTATAAAACGAAATGATGTCAAAATGATATTATTTTTAAAACACTTGACAAAAGGTCAATTTATTTTGTAACTGGTTGCGTGTTAGTTTAGTACACCATATATTACACGTTTAAAAATAAGTAAAAATTTAAAAGATTGAAAAATATAGTAGGAAATGTTTGAAAAGGATAGTTGAAGATAAAATATTAATTAATTTTCTTTTTATTACGAGGGATTTACTACTTTTTTATCTTTAAATTTTTCCAAATTTTACCTTTATACTGTAATCAAAATTCCTAAGTTTTTCTGGTTAACGACCTTGGTAGCCCAAGGAACTGGGCATCATAATACATGACATTGCATGCAATTTATTTGTATGAACTGTTGGAAGATTAAAATACAATTTAAAAATAACGTTTTCAGTTTATCTTTTTTTTTTAAAAAAGAAGAAAAAACACAATTGAATTTTAATATTTATAAAAAATATTCAATGTGACTGCTTATATTAAAACAAGTTAAAAAATGTTACGAAATAAAATATGAATTAGTTATGTATCAAAAATTTGATGATCTTAAATATATCATTTGAAAATTAGAAGAATTTTAATGTTAAAAATATTTCAGATTTTGACACCTAAAAAAATTAGATGTTGAATTTAACATCTTTAAACCATATTAATACTCATTTAACCAAAAAAAAGCAATTAAATTTATGTATAAAATAAAAACTCAATTAAGTAAAAAATAAATATAATAAAAACAAATTAAAACCTAAATACATAAATTAAATTACTAAAAAAAACTTTTACACTTTTCAACTGAAAAATTAGTTGTGGATAAAGTGAGTAAACATTTCACACAGAGAACATTTTATTAAAAAAGGAAATTATAATTAAAATTTATTGATTGTAATTTATAAGTTAAATTGTTTATTACCTTAATTATTTCAAAGGTAAAAGAAAATCCCACCTCAATCATTAAAATAAAAATATCTTTAAAAAAAAAAGTAGACAAACAGTGGGGTTTATTTATCCAATTTTTTGTTATCTATATCTATCCCCATTGTGTTGTTTTCAATTACGTGTACGAGAGATGTGGAAATGTGGGTAGGGACAGACCCCAGAGGTCTATATTTGCTACTTGCCAACCAGAGAATTGAAGAAGACAGCACGAGTAGGCCCAACGATAATCGAGAGGAGATTACTTTAGGTCTTAGAATTCATTATTCTAATATATTAAGAATCTCATTATGATGAAAACGATCTCATCATAATTTATCTTCTTTCTATTTAAAGAGATTAATATATAATACTAGTTTATAAGTAATAATTAAAAAAAAAACATACGAAATATAACTTTCTTTGGTGTTTTAAAAAATTTTATATTACAGAATCTACAAAAAATATCTTGTACCACTTGATAAATAATATTAAAATATGACAGATAATATAAGAAAGAATGACGTCGAGATGTTTATAGTGATTATATTTAATATAGATTTACATTTTAGTTTCAATTATCACTTTAGTGCTTATTTCACTAACTTGAAATTTATATTACAATCACATTTCACTTGTAAAACAAACATTGATAAAAATTTACAGACATAAATTAATAAAATAATATTTTATTAGACATAAATATTTTATATTTATTTGATATTAATTTTTTTTTAATAAAAAAAAAATTTTTTTTTATCATATTACTTTTATAAAATTATCAAATGAATATAAAAATATCTTTCATTACTCTATTTAATTACATAATCTATGAGTCAAACTTGTATTTTACCTAATATTAGTAATGATTAATAATCTAAGTAATGACAATCGATAATAAAATAGAATAATTAATTGTAACATATGATACTTGATTATATGAAAAAGTATAACATTGTACCAAAACAAGATAATTAATTATATTCTAACATAATAAATTAATAAAGTTTAAATCACTCTTTAAAATATTTTGAAAAGATTTAAGTTAATAGAATTAACTGATGTAAACTTACACAAGAAAGCAATATAATACTCAATAATTTCAAGGTGTTGTAAAAAATTAAATGGTTAAATTAATATATTTTTATTTTTTAATTTTTAATAAAAATAAAATTAATTTCTTTAAAATTTTGGACTAATTTAATCTTTTATGTTTAAAAATGTGTAGAAAAGCATAAATGTATCAAATAATATAAATAATTTAAATACGTTTAAAATGTTAAATAAATCTAATATAATTAAAATGGCTAAATCTACATATTTTAAAATTAAAAGACTAAATTAAATTAAAATTTAAAAAAAATCAATTTTTACTTAAATTAAGAAACAAAAAGTATATTTAATCCAAAATTAAATAATCATTCTCAAAGTCTCGATGAACGTAGATCTCAATTATTTATATTTCCAAATTATTTTCTTATAATTCGTATTATTTTTCTAGATTACTTATTTTTATAATCTATACTCATAAACTTTTTTCTTATAATTTATGTTAATTCATCCAAATATAGTTATGCATATTTTTATAATCTCAAATATGTTTAGTTTATTAAATTATATTTAAAATATAATAACATTCGTGTACTATTTTATTTTGTACGCTTGCTCATTATTGTTTCAAATAATTACAGTAAGCCGTACATGATTTTTGTTCAGTCACATTTTTGTCCTTTCCCTCCAGTTGTCTTGTACATTATGAATAATTCTATGACTTTTGATAGTCTTTCCTGTCATTACTTTTTCCTGTGTACACATGGTACGTGACATGTCCTAAATGTTGTCGGTATTCAGCATAAAACATTTCAAAGATCTTTATAGAAAAAATTAAAAATAAATGTTTCTGAACTAAAATTAGGTTATGAATAATTTAAAAATTAATTTTTTTTAAATGTAAATGAACTTACGAGAGTCTATAAAGAATGGAAAAATTATTTTATTTTGTCTATAATATTTATTTTAATTTCGTTTTATTATTCATATGAATAGTTATGCAGAATTTTTTCTACAAACATCTAAATTATTCTCTCTCTTTTTTCTTTTTTATAATATAAATGGACATAGTTGTGGTTATTTTTCATAGGGCTATAGAGTATTTATTCATTCAATCCATCCAATGTTGTATAATCCAACACTATGATGAAAATATGAGTTAAACATTTAAAGGTTCAATAGGAGATGTTTCAATAAAATATTAACTTCTAAAAATATA